AAGCTTTTGTCCTGAAAGTATGCCACTGGCATTATCAGAGGTGATCTCCAGACAATTCTCAGGGTGAGCAGACAACTGACAACCATTATTGACTTTCATGTCTGTATGAGTCATCTTGAACAATGTAAAAAATTATGTATGAGGAAAGGATATATCATACTGAAAGGAAAGGGAAAGTGACATATCCCCCAAAGGAAACACATGAAATTAAACAGTCAGGGCTGAGTAAAAATGTCCCACTTAGGCTTCGGTTCTCATTCGGATCAACAAAAAGATTTTGAATCAGATGGGCCTGAGTGTCCTACACAGTGAAAATCAAGTGTACCTCTGGACCTTTCAGAGACAGATAAGGTGAACAAGATGATAGCTGCCTTCTGAATGGTCTGCAATCCTCTAGTTGATTAAGAAGCCATCTGTTTCCCCTCTGGACATGTAGAAATATATATCTGGCAGCATAGTAATGTTGTAGCGTATTGGAAATCCTGACCATACAAGACATCTGGCTCACGCAGCCATCTAATTACAACAATAGCTTAGGGGAATATCAATAATTCCATTTCTCACATTTTGGGATTGTAAATAATGGCTTGGATGTCATTTTTGTAATCCTTCGCAAATTACAAAAAATAAACAAATGCAATATCCTTAATTTAATACTTCTATTTATATTGGAAAGTTATGTAGATTATAATGGAAGAATCAGTAAACTTTATTTCAGTTTCTTTCTTATTCATCTAGAGGAAAAACATAGTTTAACTTTACTAAAGTAACTCTGTCATCATAATAATTTCTGTAAATTTCTGGATCTGGAGTCATAAGAAGATCTACACTATAGGGCTAACAGTATGCAGATGCCGGCATGTCTAACATCTCATTCCAAAATCAAGGGATGTAATATGCGGCCATAGAAAACAATGAAGCCACTATATATTTTTAAATAAATCTGAATTTTTAAATCCTGGTTTAATCTGCTGGCAGAAGGTTATGGTGAGCAGCAGGTTGGTTCCAGGTTCAAAATCTCTAAGACAACAGTGCACAAAAATAAGGTGAAGCAGGAGACACTGGGAACGACCAGAAACCAGCCAGGTAAAGGGCGGAAGCGACTTATTAATACCAGAAATGACTGTTAACTTATCTGAAAGTTTCTCATGAAGTCACATCAAGTGACTTTCAAAAGGAATTGGAAACATTAAGTGCAGGTGTGAAGTGGACAGTTCGTATCAGGTCCCTAGAAGCAGGACTGAAGTCCCATAAAGCAGGGAAGAAGCCCTTTATTAATGAGAAACAGGGAAGAAGCCCTTCATTAATGAGAAACAGGGAAGAAGCCCTTTATTAATGAGAAACAGGGAAGAAGCCCTTCATTAATGAGAAACAGGGAAGAAGCCCTTTATTAATGAGAAACAGAGAAGAAGCCCTTCATTAATGAGAAACAGGGAAGATGCCCTTCATTAATGAGAAACAGGGAAGAACCAGGCTGCAGTTTGCAAAAAAATAATCTCAAATGTCCACCCATTAATTGAGAAATGAGTGAAACAAAAAAATTGTGCTGGTCTCTTAATATTTTCCACAGCTGTATATTTGCTCCAACCTTTGTTGCTATAATAGCATGTACTGTTTGGGAAGACAGTCCATAAGATGCTGTATCATTGCTGGTGGGATTTGCTGCCATTCAGGTTGGGTGTTGGGGTTGGGTGTGCAGGTCCCTTTCTATCAGCTTTTGTGTCCTACCACTTCACAGCTGAACAATCTCCCAGACGTCTCCACGTCACAGTCACTTCCCTTGCAGGTGACCAGGGCGGTTCTAATGTGGTGAACTGAATGTTGGAAAGATGGCGTCCAGTGATGAAAAGTCCATTAGTGGAAAGTCACCACTAACCTCTTCTGTGCAACCATTCATTCTAGTACTATTTTATGTTCCTGGATATTGCGTGGCTGTGTGTTTAATTATGCACATCTGTCAGCAATGGATGTGGCCCAATTAGCCAGTTCCTCTAATTAATAGGGGTATCAACATACTTTTGACCATGTAGTGTAGTTGGCATCTTTTAGGGCTGATTTATACTTCTGTGCCAAGCCTGTGCCGTGACTTACACAAGCGGCACTTACAGCAGTTACACAAAAAAATGCTAGGTGATGCAGTTTTGTATGGTGCACTTATTGTCATTCCACCCTTAGAAATATTCAATTGCTGAATCAGTCGAGTCCTGGTTACATTTGTGCTGCTCCAAACTTCCCGTAGAACAATATTGAAAAACATGGCAAGCTGCTACAAAGTCACTTTTTATACCTTTTCCATTCTAAAGTTAGTGTCTCTGCTGCTTTTTAGCTTTTTTTCTTGTGAAGTGCGAATAAAATTAATGGAGGTAAGTGAAATTGTTGCTGTCATCCTGAATATTTTGTATACCTGTTACTACGACGCCTATTGTGGCTTATTTAATGCTAGTATAAATAGCGCTTCAGTTTCAATCAGTAATATAAGTACACTGGGGATGCACACTTTCTTCAGTTCCTTAAAAAAATGAATGCTACAGTACCAAACAGACCAATCACAGCTCTTGTGGTCTGTGCTGCAGTAACATGTAGTTACATATTCGGGGAGGTGCACATCAGGCTATGGTGTGGACTACAGTGTGGGGTCCATGGCTGCACCATACTTACAGCATCGACTCGACGCAGGTGTAATAATCAGCCTTTAGTGCTCTTATTTCAAGGTGACCAGCGATGCTTTAAGTTGAGTGGAGCATGGAGCAGAGTGGAGACTAAGTGGATTATCTCAAAGGCAGTGCAGAAATGTTGATCTCTTAAATGCAAGCCTTCTATGAGATTTTCAAAGATGATTTCTCAAAGAAACAGATGTGCATTGAAATATTCTGATTTTCATTTAGAAAACATGAATAATAAATGACTACAATACATAAGGAAACTATAAAGAATGACAGACCACGTATTCCCCGGAAAGCCCCGTCACCCCCCAATCTAATCCCTACACCCACCACACCCCCCAGGCTCGACCATTTCTAGAATTACTGGATGAATAAAATGGGAATATAAAAGCCAATAAATGTGTTTTTACCTGAGTGGTCCTAGTTGTGGCATATAACTCACCTACACCTATTCATCTATCATGCATTCCACTTACATGCCAATCTGTGCAGTCTTTTCCAAGTCTGTTGATTTGTCATTTGCAAAATGACCAATATGACATAACAGCGTAAGAATTGTGACAGACACACCAGTGCACCGGTGAGACACTGTATATGTCGGCAGTTGAACAAAACTGTTTGCACAATTTAGTTTGACTGGCCCACAAAATATTAAATTGAGCTCACAAAATCCCTAAACGTTTACGTTTACGTTTTTTGTGCTCTCAATTTGCTATTTCAAGCACTCAAATACATTTTTTACTTAAACATTTTACTTATTTGTGTTCTTGGTTAATGAAAATGTGCTAACAAACAAAGCTTCAACCAATTCAGTGATGGAAATTAGGGGTTACGGTTATCTAATTCTTCAAATGTAGTCACTATTTGCATATTTCTGTATCGGGTAAGGGGCAGAGTATGGCTCAGCAGGCTAAGCCTTTGTGCCTGTGATTATAAGGTCACCAGTTCAAGTCCAGCCTTGGCTGAACAGTCATGTCTGTGGGCCCTTGAACAAGACCCCTCACCCCCAGGTCCATGGGCACCCCTGTAGGTGGGCACTCTTCACTGCCAAGCTTGGTCTCACCTACATGTGAGTCATGGAGAGCCAGATGGAGTAGGCAAAAAGAGAATTTCCCCACAGGGATCAAAAGTCATCATTATTATAATTTTTTTTTATATAAATTTTAATGAGTAAGCCACACACAGCTTTACATTACTGTTTTGCTCTTCATTACATTGCAACATAATTATACAACAAAAGACAGAACATCGTTACAGCAGGAAAGCGCATCTATAGTTTCTTTTCTTGTCAGTTTTCACCCTCGTCATGTCCCCTCGATGCCTGCCTCTGACGACCCAAGAATTAAACCGCATTAATCAGCCTTTTTGTTATCTCGTGGTTTTTCCTCACCATGCCGTTGTGCTTGGCTAACTGGAGAGGCATGCATTTGTCAGTCAAACTATCAATCCTCACTAATGTTGCCAAGAAATAAGGGAAGCCAACAACCACCTCCCTAGATCCACAGCAATAAAATGTGCTGCAATCTCGCATCCGGAAAATGCAAGACAAATTGCAACCCATATTGGTTCAAAGTGGGAAAACACATTTTATTTTTCAATATGGGCCGGGTGATTGTTGAAAATACGCGACAGGTACAAACTTAACATTTCCCATAAGACTTAATTGCATGACTACATTGACACGTATAATAAAATAACTGACACAGTAAATAATAAAATAATTGAACAGTAAATAAATATTCTTATTTACAGAATACACTAGGAATGCGCATCTCCATCATTGCGGAGATATAAATCTCGATGCATTACCAATGATCCAGTACATTACAAATACATATGAAACAACTACTATTGTGATAAGACACGATTCACCCCTATTGCGATGCAGTGTGATTTTACCCAATATGATACGATGTGATGAACGCCGGTATCCAGCTCGCATGAGACTTGGCCAAGGGACTTGCGGAGAACTGGAGATGTTTGAACTTGAGAAACAGTTTAGAGAGGGGGGATTAATCTAAATATTAAATTACAGTACTGGTCATATTTCTAAATAGTAACGGCATAGTGCCTCTACTAATAAATAAATGAAGAGCTCTTTTCCAAAACGCGATAAACGCCAAATTTAGAAAAAATGAGTTGGTCATGCCATTTTGCTGTGCACTGAACCTATTCACTGCTCCACCAACATTTCATGCCAAACCGCTATATTTCCTTGTTTAAGATGTACAGCAAGATGCCGTTTCTTTCCAAACCGCAATAAGCGCCGTACCTATTTTTTGTATGTACTCTCAACCAATCAGAATTCGGTGAGCGTGCGACTTAATCGAACTTGGCGGCGGTCTGAGGCGATAGTTTTGTTGCGATCTTGTTTAGTGTCCTCTTCAAAATGAGTGCTTTAAACCCTTTTGACGGCATCGATGAGCCAGTGAGACCTACAGCTGGAGGTAGGTTCACACATAACACACATAAACAATCAACTTTTTGGAAATAAATGGATGGATTTATTATAGCATTTTGGAAAAGAATGGATGGATTTATAGTGTTTTGAAAAAAATAATAAACTTTGAATTTATAATCAACAATACTGTTGTTTGATTTAACAATCATTGTTCAACATGTTCAGACTAAGCCAACAAACCATTTTAACAGGATAAATTAAATATTAACAAAATCTATGGGTCTAGGTAAAAAATGTAATTTTCCTGAAAACTATCATAAGGGATTTATGCCGTTTTGGAAAAGAGCTCTTCAAATATCAATGTAACCCTGGCAATGCACTGCTTCCCAACTGATAACTCTGCACTCTGTGTTGTATTATGGTATGTTGGTGATGTCATGTGGTGTGGTGAGGGAGGTGCAGGCCAGGCCCAGGATCCTCCCGTTGTGTGACTCTGTGTTGTGTTTTTGTATGTTGGTGATGTCATGTGGTGTGGTGAGGGAGGTGCAGGCCAGGCCCAGGACCCTCCCTTTCTGTGACTCTGTGTTGTGGTTTTGTATGTTGGTGATGTCATGTGGCGTGGTGAGGGAGGTGCAGGCCAGGCCCAGGATCCTCCCCTTGTGCGACTCTGTGTTGTGTTTTTGTATGTTGGTGATGTCATGTGGTGTGGTGAGGGAGGTGCAGACCAGGCCCAGGACCCTTCCCTTCTGTGACTCTGCGTTGTGTTTTGGTATGCTGGTGATGTCATGTGGCATGGTGAGGGAGGTGCAGGCCAGGCCCAGAATCCTCCTGTTATGTGACTCTGTATTGTGTTTTGGCATGTTGGTGATGTCATATGGCGTGGTGAGGGAGGTGCAGACCAGGCCCAGGACCCTCCCATTGTGCGACTCTGTGTTGTGTTTTGGCATGTTGGTGATGTCATGTGGTGTGGTGAGNGGAGGTGCAGACCAGGCCCAGGACCCTCCCATTGTGCGACTCTGTGTTGTGTTTTGGCATGTTGGTGATGTCATGTGGTGTGGTGAGGGAGGTGCTGGCCCAGGTGCAGCACAGCAGCAGTAACCACGGTGACAGTCTGACTTCAGGTGTTCTGACCTGGCAGGGAGTGCAATATGATGGGAGAGGTGGGTGATGATGAATACAGTCTGGAGGTGGATCTGACATAAACAAAACTTGCTTGTAGGCCTATATCTTAAAAATACTTTTTAAAGTAGCAAAGCTAACAAACAAAAAATAAACAAACTTTGCTCTGTATTACAAATTCTGCGTTACTTTCCCATGAACACAAGAATGAGTTTGCAGTTCTTCTCCCTTTACTGACAGCTTGCGTTTGTGCCTAACAGTTTGCAATAGTAACAAATTAAACTTTTCAATGTACCTAAAAGATGGGCAAATACAACAAAATTATAACAAGTAATATTTAGCCAGTTACTGTCTTAGTTATACGCCCCAAAAGAACTTGACGCTAATTAACTTTGGCACGGTGGCGCAGTCACCTCACACCTCTGGGACCTGGGTTCGAGTCTCTGCTAGAGTTCCATGTGTGGCGTTTACGTGTTCTCCCTGTGTCATTGTGGGGTTTCCTTTGGGTATTCTTGTTTCCCCCCCCCACCCCACACCCCCACAGTTCAAAAACATGCAGAGGCTACCTCGAGTTGCCAAATTGCCCATAGGTGTACGTGTGTGTGTGAGTGAATGGTGTTCACTGATGCTCTCTGATGGGTTGGTGCCCCATCCTGGTCTTTCACCTGTTCTTTCAGGTGCCACCGGTAACTATGGCTACGTGCAAGGTTGCCCGCTCTCACGCATTTGGCATGACATTCACATGCAAGAAATCTTATGGCAAATCTATATTTTTCCATTATATGCCTAAGCTTAGCTGCATCAAAGGTGTTGGGGTAGTTTGCAAACCATATAGATTATTTACAAGGGAATAAGACTGTTCCATACATGTAAATGCGTGTGCAGACTTGTCTCGAATTGAAAATCTTATGCCAGCCAGTTGACCAAATTTGGAAACACTGTAAGTGACACAATATCACAAACTGTCTCTCACCAGACCCTCTCCAGACTGCTACAGATAACATTTGCCAAGTGGGGAGCTAGAGACGGAAAACTATATAAACTAGACTCTAGAATATTCCTGGAAAGTTTGCAAAAAGCCCCATAGAATACAGTATGTTTATATGGCAGATGGCTGTGCTCACAAGATCGCACTTGCCCTTTTCCCCTTTTGCCCTTGTCCTTCTTGCCCTCGTCAATCATACATTACATACTGCTTTTTTTTCTGGGGGATAAGCAGTGTTAAATTAGAGTTCATATCAATTAGTTGATAGTTTAGGTTACAGCAAGTTATGCGAAGCTATTATATGAATGTGCCTTACTGAATGAATTTAGGTCGACATCATGAAATATTATGGGAAAGAAGCATGTAATTTATGGCTAATTGTCACCATATATAAAAATAAAAATTAATGAGAAATGCTTAATATTAATACTATTACAAGCCAACATCAAATACACTTGTTTTTATATCCAAATTTGGCTTTGAAATGTTTCTATGGACATTATTACTGATACCGTCCCCGTCATAAGCAGTTCATCATTATTTTTTATTTATGGCATTATGCAAAACATTAGTTAGCCTAATCTAGCCCATTAGGCGTAATATGAAAGAAACCCAAGCGTTAACACGGCCGGAGTAGCCTAGCTTATGTTTGTATTTAAAATGTTTCATGCAATTACCTTTACTGCAAACGCTATCGCAGGTCGCAGTTTTGGAAAGTCTTTTACAGATAATGATCAGTTTATCTTACTGAATGACGTGCTGCCTGCACGCCCTCTCTCACGCGCACGCGATGTGAATCCTACCTGCTTTCGGTGAAACCTGCACGAAGCTGGCATCCCCTTATGTTCCAGATATTAACAAAACTGGTCTCAGTCGTTTGTGCTGATTTGTGCTGCTGAAATTGTCGTTTGTGCTGCTTTAATTTCTGAGACATAGGCGTTTATTAATACATGGTCACGTGACAACAGCGTGAAGCCCCCCCCATTTGTGTCCAATTTCGGGGAAACCGATCGCAGTCATTTGTGTTGCATTTGTGCCGGTATGCACGTATAGGTGACTTCTATCTGGAGGATTAAAGGTCATGCCCACCAGGGGGCAGTGCAAGAAAACCATCTTGGTCAGCTCCTTTTTTTCTGGTCTCGCTTGTTTCGTATGAGTTTGTGACATGAAATGATGTACATTCCCTGCCTCCACAGCAATCAATAAAAAAAAAATAAAAAATTTGTTCACCATTTGAACATCACCACTGAGTAGTTTGACAATCGGCACGTTGCTGAGTTTGGCTGGTCTCATAAGACCTGAAACTCACCAACTGATTCTGCCACAAGTCTATTCAAGAGTTAAGAGTTAAAAGAAGCAGTTAGTAAATGTGCCTATGCCAAGAGCCATCGGGAACAGTGTTTGCTGATGATTTAGACGTGCATAATATAAACTGAAGCCTAAAGGTCACATACTCAGGATGTTAATAAACAAAACATATGGTTTATGCTTGTTGCTTTGGTATTGTTTTTATCCTTCAATTAAAGCATTTTTACATGATATACACTCACCTAAAGGATTATTAGGAACACCATACTAATACGGTGTTTGACCCCCTTTCGCCTTCAGAACTGCCTTAATTCTACG